CTTGTCGTACGCTTGCGATCAGGCGCTCTGTTGGATAGTGGAACGCGCTTGGCGAGGAGGGGTCCTGTGCCCTCTCTCGCGTGTCCTCTCCCATCCACCTCCGCTGCAGCGCCGGCTGGCCTCAAGAGGAACAGCCCCAGCTGGCCTCAACAGGACCCCCGAGCAGCGCGAGGCGGTCCCAACACCCCGGCACCACCTCTGGCGGCGCCCCTGTGGGGCGCTTTGCGCCCAAGGGTTGGGATTCTGAGGCCGCCCCTGACTGCTCGGGGGACGAGGCCAGCCAAGACTGTCTGCGGGGGCCGCCTGTGGGCAACCCGCAACCTCACCAGGCCCGGACCTCCAGCGTCTCGGGAAATGTCATGCGGAAATCGCCCCTTTCTTCGTCTCAGGACCCTCGCCGACGATTCTGGCCCACCCACCCCCGAGCGCCCTCGGCGAGGCGCAGCAGATGCAACCACCCCGGGCCCCGAAAACTCCAGAAAACTGTTGAAACCGTTGCCCTTCAACGTTGACCCTGAGGCTTGGGCCCCGATAGCCCCCCAACGCTGCCCCTGATCCTCCGAGGGTCCGCAGCTGGAAGAGCATCTCGAGGCTCGAAATCCAGCGAGAACTGAGGAAAACGACAGAACACGGACCCCCTTCTGGGCCGATCCCCCCCCCAAGACGTTGCCCCCGAAACTCCGAAGGCACGCGGCTCACCGTGCCTAGCGACCACCCCTCTGCTTTTAGGCGGATCGGTGTGTCACTCTGGCACAAAAAAACACAGAAAGGCTGAGACGGGATGGTGCAGGCGTAGGATTCATATCGCTGCGCGATCAGAGGCAGAGTCCTCAGATCCTGCTCCTCCCCTTCCTACCCCCATCCATCCTCCCAGCTCCCTCCTCCCTCCTCATATCCTCATCCCCTTCCTCCTCCCTCCCTCCCTTCCTCCCTCCCTCCCTCCCTTCCCACCCCCCACCCACCACCCAGCCTCTCTTCCCTCCTCCTCCCTCCCGCCCTCCCTCCCTCCACCCTCCCTTCCTCCCTCCCGCCTCCTCATCCTCCTCCTCCTCCTCATCCTGCCTGCGCCCCTCCTACCCCCTCCTCCTCCCTCCTCCTCCTCCTGATGATGCCTTCCTTTTCCTTAGAATACCTTCTCCCTGTGGCAGTCCAGGGCCACATTGGAACACGCTAAATAACTTGAGTCAAAACACACAAAGATGAACAAGACAAAAAAAAAACCCAACAACAGTACAAACAAAAACCATAAAAAAGAGAAAATCAAACAAACAACACGTTTTTTTTCGTAGGGCCGGGCATTTCGCCTGAGCCTCCCTCACCATTGATGACTCTGAAGCTTCAAACATGGCAACAGTTCCACAAATAGAGGGCGGGTTGTTTTCAAAATGTGGCTCTCGCCTGAGGGCCGCGCACAGAAACATGTGCACGAGCTTCACGGATTGAGGGCGGGTCGTTTTCAAAATGTGGCTCTCGCCCTGACGCCGCGCATAGCCATGTCAAGAATTTGAAAAAATGTCACGGGTTGAGGGCGGGTGGCTTCCATAATGTGGCTCTCGCCTTAGCGCGGCGCACCTTCGTTTAAACATTCCCAAGAACTTCACGAATTGAGGGCGAGTGGCCTCCAAACTGTGGCTCTCGCCTTAGGATCGCGCAGATTCATAAACATTAGCCTGGCGAAGGACCCAACCATATGCAGTTGTGAGTAATGCTGATGTGAGTACCGTCTTCGGTGGATCTCCCTATGGGGCCACGAACCGTTTGAAGGGTGTGCCGAAATGGGTGTGGGGGCGGCATGCGAACGTTGCCACTGGGGCCTTCGGTGGAGCTCCTTATGGGGCCACGAAGCGTGTGAGGGGTGCACCGAAGTTGGTGTGGGGGCGGCATGCGAACGCAGCCACTGGGGCCTTCGGTGGAGCTCCCTGTGGGGCCACGAAACGTGTGAGGGGTGTGCCGAAATTGGTGGGGGGCGGCATGCGAACGCAGCCACTGGGGCCTTCGGTGGAGCTCCCTATGGGGCCACGAAACGTGTGAGGGGTGTGCCGAAATGGGTGTGGGGGCGCATGCGAACCCAGTCACTGGGGCATTCAGTGGAAATCCCCATGGGGCCACGAAACGTGTGAGGGGTGTGCCGAAATGGGTGGTGGGGAAGCATGCGGACCCTGCCACTGGGGCCTTCGGTGGAGCTCCTTATGGGGCCACGAAACGTGTGAGGGGTGTGGCGAAGGGGCCTAGGGGAGGCTATGCGGACCCTCGCGCTGGGGCCTCCGGTGGAGCTCCATAGGGCCAGCGAAAGCGTGTGAGGGGTGCGCGCGAAATGGTGTGGAGAAAGGCATGCGGACCCTGCACTGGTCCTTCGGTGGAGCTCCCTATGGGGCCACGAAGCCGCTGCAACTGGGTGGGTGAAACGCAGGTATCGGACGTCAAAGGGCTGTCTGGGTGGTGGCGGAACGCATGCGGGCGGGCCGCTGGGAACCTTTGTGTTGGAGCTCCTATAGGGCTACGAATGCGGCTGTTTTGGGTGGGTAGGCGCAGGGAAACAAGGGCTGTGCTGGGTGGTGGCGGACGCAAGCGGGCTGTGCCACTGGGACCTTTGGTGGAGCCCCCTATGGGGCCACGAAACGTGCGAGGGGTGTGCCAGAATGGGGTGCGGAACCGCATGCCAGCGCAGCCACTGGGGCCTTCGGTGGAGCTCCCTATGGAGCCACGAAGCGTGTGAGGGGTGTGCCGAAATGGGGGGCGGAACCGCATGCGAGCGCAACCACTGCGGCGTTCGGTGGAGCTCCCTATGGGGCCACGAGACGTGTGAAGGGCGTGCCGAAAAAGGAGGTGGAACCGCATGCGAGCGCAGCCACTGGCGCCTTCGGTGGAAATCCCCATGGGGCCACGAAACGTGCGAGGGGTGTGCCGAAATGAGTGTTGGGGAGGCATACGAACCAGGCCATTGGTGCCTTCGGTGGAGCTCCCTATGGGGCCACGAAACGTGTGAGGGGTGTGCCGACATGGGTGGCGACAGCGCATATATGATTGCAAGCGCGCCCCCCAACGGTCTGGATACGCCCCAACAACCGCATGCCTCCCCCAGCGAATTCGGCTACCAACCGCAGCTAAACTCATATGCTACGCCTGCCCCCCGCCCCCCACCCCCCCGCTTCTGCGGCCGCGCTCAGTCCGCGTCCGAGTCGATCGTCACGACGCCTGTTGGGGGCTCAGAAGCAAGGCGGCCGAATGAGGACGCGCAGGGGAATCCCCCGCTACGCGCTGCCAGAAGGGGCAGCCGTGCTCGCGGCCAAACGGCGCGCAACGCAAGCACCCGCTGGTCAACAAACGGGCGATTCCTGTGACGCCCCGCGAGCGCCGCCCGACTTCTGCGCCCCCCGAGCCCGGGGAGAGCCCCTGGATCGTCTCCTTGCCCACGGGCTTCGCCTCGAACACCTCCCGCTTGACAGCCCCATCGGTCGAGCCCGCCGCCCTGCAGGGGCCCTCGGGATCCTGCTTGATCGACGCGCGAGGCGCCCGCTGCCGCTTGACGCTGATCTCCTCCTTCTTGGTGGGCGCAAGCTTCTTCGCGGCGCCGAACCCAGCATTGATCGCGCTCTTCTCTTCAAGGCGTTGAACTCCCTGAGCGAGATCGCGCCTGCCTGGTGAAGCACCCAGAGCCGCTCGATCTCCTGCGCGGGGGTCCCGCGCGGCGGATCTTCCTCGCCCTCGTAATCGTCGCGGTCGCCCCCGTTGCGGTCGCACTTGAAGCCGTCCGCGAAGGGGTCGGGGGACGCCGCGCGGGCCCCCTGGGCGCAATGCTTCGCCCGCTTAGCTGGGGGGCCCTCCTCTGGCGCGGCGCGGGCTGGCATCGGGGCCGAGGGCGCGCCACCCGCTGGCGCTGCTGGCGCTGGCATCGGGGCCGCGGGCACGCCGCCCCCTGGCGACATCGGGGCCGCGGGCGCGCCGCCCCCTGGCGCGGCTGCTGCGCTGCCCCAGATGTCCCCCAAGCCGAGCTGGCCGAACGGCTGCGGCTCGGCGGCCGCGGAAACGTCCTCCGCGCCCGAGTCGTCGGCCCCCTGCGGGACTTCGTCGTCCTCCAGGAGCTGTGCCAGCCAGTTCTGCTCCCACATCACGCCCTGCTCGTAATCGGTCCCGAACTGGCGGTTGCCCTCTTTCCACAAGCCAATGCGGCGCCTGCCGTCCACGGTGATGAAGTTCGACTCGTCCAACACAAAGCACGGAACGGGCTCAGTGCCCTCGGAGGCGAGGCGGTGGATCACGTAGACCTTGCCGTCGGTGTGCGTGAAGTTGAGGGTCACGTGCGAGCGCTTCAGACACGCCATGAGGTTGGCTAGAGCCGTCCCTGGGGGGAAGGTTGCCGACGCGGCGTCCAGGAAGTCCTTGTGAGAGATCGTCGGGAAGCTGCCGCTGGTGGGGCGGAGCGTGGCTGGGTTGAACGTGTTGTCCATGATCAAGCGAGGCTGTCCCCCTGCACTGCGTTTTGTCCCCGCCCCCTGCCAGCGACTGCCGCTGGTGGGGCGGAGCGTGGCTGGGTTGAACGTGTTGTCCATGATCAAGCGAGGCTGTCCCTGCGCGCATTTTGTGCCCCCCCAGCGGGCCCAGATCATTGACTCATCATCCCCGACGTCCGTGAATGACTTGGTCGCCCGAACGCGCTGCTCGTTCAGCGCCCCGTCGTCGTACACCCAGGCGCAGCTCTTCTCCCCTGGCTGGCCGCGCAAGAAGTCGAACTCCGTCGTGCTCTTCAGCATGGCCACGCGCTCGCCGCCGATCTTGCGCGCCCACCGCCTGGCGAGGGCCAGGGCGACTGCGCGACCCACGAAAGTCTTGCCGATACCAGGCTCGCCAATCATCATGAGAGCATGCTTGCCCATCGTCTTGACCATGGGCTTGAGGGCGCCGACCAGGAAGGAGCGCTTGATGTTGCGCAGCGTGACGGGGCACACAAGGTGCTCTTGGCACAGCACCGCCTCGTTTGCGATGCCCCTCATGATCTCTTTCACAAGCGACTCCTTCCTATGGGGCCACGAGACGTGTGAAGGGCGTGCCGAAAAAGGGGGTGGAACCGCATGCGAGCGCAGCCACTGGGGCCTTCGGTGGAGCTCTCTATGGGGCCACGAACCGTGTGAGGGGTGTGCCGAAATGGGGGGGGAACCACATGCGAGCGCAGCCACTGGGGCGTTCGGTGGAGCTCCCCATGGAGCCACCCACGAAGCGTGTGAGGGGTGTGCCGAAATGGGGGTGGAACCGCATGCGGGCGCAGCCACTGGAGCGTTCGGTGGAGCTCCCTATGGGGCCACGAAGCGTGTGAGGGGTGTGCCAGAATGGGGGGGTGGAACCGCATGCGGGCGCAGCCACTGGGGCCTTCGGTGGAGCTCCCTATGGGGCCACGAAGCGTGTGAGGGGTGTGCCAGAACGTGGGGTGGAACCGCATGCGGGCGCAGCCACTGGGGCCTTCGGTGGAGCTCCCCATGGGGCACCGAAACGTGTGAGGGGTGTGCCAGAACGGGGGGTGGAACCGCATGCGGGCGCAGCCACTGGGGCCTTCGGTGGAGCTCCCTATGGGGCCACGAAACGTGTGAGGGGTGTGCCAGAATGGGGGGTGGAACCGCATGCGGGCGCAGCCACTGGGGCCTTCGGTGGAGCTCCCAAAGGGGCCACGAAACGTGTGAGGGGTGTGCCAGAATGGGGGGTGGAACCGCATGCGGGCGCAGCCACTGGGGCCTTCGGTGGAGCTCCCTATGGTGCCACGAAGCGTGTGAGGGGTGTGCCAGAATGGGGGGTGGAACCGCATGCGGGCGCAGCCACTGGGCCTTCGGTGGAGCTCCCTACGGGGCCACGAAACGTGTGAGGGGTGTGCCAGAATGGAGGGGTGGAACCGCATGCGGGCGCGGGCACTGGGGCCTTCGGTGGAGCTCCCTATGGGGCCACGAACGTGTGAGGGGTGTGCCCGAATGGGGGGTGGAACCGCATGCGGGCGCAGCCACTGGGGCCTTCGGTGGAGCTCCCTATGGGGCCACGAAACGTGTGAGGGGTGCGCCAGAATGGGGGGTGGAACCGCATGCGGGCGCAGCCACTGGGGCCTTCGGTGGAGCTCCCTATGGGGCCACGAAACGTGTGAGGGGTGTGCCAGAATGGGGGGTGGAACCGCATGCGGGCGCAGCCACTGGGGCCTTCGGTGGAGCTCCCTATGGGGCCACGAAACGTGTGAGGGGTGTGCCAGAATGGGGGGTGGAACCGCATGCGGGCGCAGCCACTGGGGCCTTCGGTGGAGCTCCCTATGGGGCCACGAAACGTGTGAGGGGTGTGCCAGAATGGGGGGTGGAACCGCATGCGGGCGCAGCCACTGGGGCCTTCGGTGGAGCTCCCTATGGGGCCACGAAACGTGTGAGGGGTGTGCCAGAATGGGGGGTGGAACCGCATGCGGGCGCAGCCACTGGGGCCTTCGGTGGAGCTCCCTATGGGGCCACGAAACGTGTGAGGGGTGTGCCAGAATGGGGGGGTGGAACCGCATGCGGGCGCAGCCACTGGGGCCTTCGGTGGAGCTCCCTATGGGGCCACGAAACGTGTGAGGGGTGTGCCAGAATGGGTGTGGGAGGGGGAGGAGGGGGGAGGAAGGGGAGGAGGAGGAAGGAGGAGGAGGAAGGAACGCGGGGCGACGTCTCTTCAAAACGAGGACCCAACACCACAGGATGGTTGGGAAAAACATGTTTCGAGAACGGTGCAAAGGGCCCTGACGCTTCCGGGGCCCATGAAGTCGGAGTCTGAGTGAGTGTGCGAGCGAGTCTGAGTTTGAGTGAGTCTGAATACAGCCAACCCGTACGGTAAGGATGCGCGATAGGGATGCAAGGCCCATGGAAGCCCACTTCGAAGTTTTCGAGCGGGGCGCGGCCAGCGAACGTGGCCAAGGATGCACCGAGGATGCAGGGATGCAAGGGTACCCTTGGGACGGTTGCCCGTCCTTACTGTGCGGGCTGACTGTAGGAGTCCACACGAGTAAGGAGAGGGAGGAGGGAGGGCTCCCTGCTTCCTCCCCGAGGACCCGGGTAACTGACTACCTACCAGACCACCCCAACCCAACCCGAAGACCCGAATTTCGGGTGGGGGGGGGTAAGGGTTCCACATGTGTTTTTTCTATGTTTCCCGCCCCCCACCCCACTGGAAATCGAGGGTAAATCTGAGCCTTCGGGTTGGGTTGGGGTGGTTTGGTGGGTGGTGAGTAACTAATCTAGGAGGAAAACAAACCTACCTCGCTTTTGACCACCCTCGCTTCCAAGAGATACCAAACGATGCCAAATTGAAACCCGTACTGGTCAGGCCGCTTGACGAGGAGGCGTATGGTATGACTTGGTTTTGCCGGGAAGCGAAAGCGGGGTAGGTAATTCACGCTCTGATTTAATCCCGTCGGAGGATATGGGGAAAACTCAGCGTCGCAGGAATATCCACGGCCGGAGCCCCGGACCCTGCCTCGGCGCCATCTCTCTCGAGCCGCCGGGTCGACCTGTGGGGGCCCCCGGGGGACCTCGAGGCCGCACGGACACGCGCCCGCCGTGAGGAGTGGCAGCGCCCGGACCTCGGGGCCCCCCTCCTCCCTCCTCTCTCCTCCTCCTCCTCCTCCTCCTCCTCCCCTCCCCCCTCCCCCCCCCCCCCTTCCCCCCCCTTCCCCCTCCCCCTCCCCTCCCCTCCCCCCCTCCCCCATCCCCCTCACCTCCCTCCCCCGTGAATGCGCGGGACGCCCAGAACGGTTCGGCGGCGGCGCACAAGGGGGTGGGGGAGGGGGGAGGGCTCCTTAGAGAAGGAAGCTGCTTCTTAGAAGGCGCCAGCCTTCCATCTCTAGATGAGGCCCGCGCCTTCCAAGAAGCAGGGGTGCTTCTAAGAAGCCCTCCCCCCTCCCCCCACCCCCCTCTGCGCGTGGCTGAACGATTACGGAAGAACGTAGGCCCAGTGCCCAGCAGCAGAGGCTGTCCCAAAGCAGCAGCAGCCGCTGTCCGGCAGGCGGCCTCCTGTCTCAAAGGGACACCGTCCGCGGCGGCGCCGCCAGCGAGCCCTGCTCAAAACGCATGGGAACTGCTGTCAAGTCTTCGTACCCACTCTTCCCGTACCCGTTTCGATCGTCCCGACTCTCCCTCCTCCCCTCTAGAAGGGGAAAAAAACAGAAAAAAAATTAACTTACGCCGCTCCGCGCGGATCTCTCGGATCTGCGCTGGACCCTTCTCCCTGGCGCGCGGAGCGCGCCGGGATCCGCGCTGGAGGCTCCGCCGGGGGGGCCCCAGCGCCGATCCAAGGAATCCGCGCGGGGCGCCAAAAGCTTCTGTCTGTGGCGAGGTTTCTTTGAAGGGGCCCTAGGACACACAAATAAATACACACAAAAATAAGGATGTCCCATATGTTCGTATAGTTTCTGGGTTTTTGTCTTCCCCCCACTTCCGATATTTTCCCATATCTTCTGGGGGATCGACGATTAATTGTGTCTGTGTGTTTTTTCCCCTCCTGATTCTTCCTCGACCCTGCTCTCTTCCTCCTCACCCCCCCGGACCCCGAGGAGGAGGGGATGCCCCCCCCGCCGGCGCGCGGCGGGGGCGCCGCGGCGGCGCGCCTCGAAGGCCCCGCGCACCTGCGCCAGCTTCGCCGTCGGCGCCCCCTCGACGGCGGCCTGGTGGGGGCCGGGCGCCCGCCGCCCGGTGGGGCGGGCGCGCCATGGAGCCGGCTGGTTCGTCGGTTCGTTCGCTCGGTCGCTCGTTCGTTCGTCGCTTTGTTCGTGCGTCGCTTCGTTCGTTCGTCGCTTCGTACGCTCGTTCGTCGCTCCGTTCGTTCGTCGCTTCGTTCGCTCGTTCGGTCGCCCCGAGACCCTGGCGCGGCAGCTTCTTCGCAGCGGGCGCGTGCGCTCCACTTCGGGCCCCGGGGCCCTCACAGGTCGGCGCGCCTCGAAGAAGGGTGCAGAGAGGTCGCGTCCAGGGGTCTCCGGGCGCGATGTCTCGCGATGCTGCAATGTTTTCGCAACGTCGGATCTCAGTGTAATGGGGGGGGGCAAAAGAGTAGGGAAGGAAGGTTCTATGCTCTAGGAATTTGGGGCCCCAAAGGGCCCCCTCAGGGGTCCTAACGGGTCCCTTCTCTGCAGCCCTCGCTGCCCCCCCCACATTTCTCGCCCCCCTCCCCTATCGTCCCCCCCCCCCGACGTCGTTCTCCTTGGGTGTCGCTCGAACGGAGAAGCACGGCGAAGACTCCAAAAAAGAGAAGCTGGACTACTAAAATCACGTCCTCCTCACACTCATCAGCCTCAGTCTCCATCCCCCTTTCCCTCTCCATCTCCTCCTTCCTCTCTCCCCTCCTGCTCCTCCTCCTCCTCCTCCTCCTCCTCCCTCCTCCTCCTCCTCCTCCTCCTCCTCCCCTCCTCCTCCTCCTCCCCCTCCTTCTCCTCCTCCCCTCCTCCCTCTCAACCGCCTCGCCCCCCCTCCCCCCCTCGTCTTCCACGACCTTCTTTCCGATTCCGCCTTCTTCCTCCCCCCCCGCCCTCCCCCCCGCCCTCTCTCGCCTCCTCCTGGCGCCTGCCGCGCCCGCCCTGCCCCCCCCATCTGCCTCCGCCTCCCTCCTCGTGATCCATCATCTGTCATCCGTCTCCACCAGCCCCCTCGGCAACCGTCTCCCGATCATCCGTCTCCGCCTCCCCCTCCTCTCGTCCTCTCCTCCTCTCCTCCTCTCCTCCTCTCCTCCTCCTCCTCCTCCCCCTCCTCCTCCTCAACCAACTCCCCCTCCCTTCAGCAGTTACTCTCTCTCTCTCTCTCTTTCCTGATACCGTCTGTGCCTCCCACGCCTCTTCCGCACACCGCTTTACACACAGGTTTCCGACACGGCCTCGTCCAGTCGGACCGGTCCCTGCCCTTCAAGAGCGTTTTGTGTTCAGGCTGCAACGCGAGCCACACTCGAAGATTCCCATAGCAGGCACCCATCCAACTGAACAGCGCTCTCGCCGCGGCACTGGCCGCATACCTGCACCAGAAAAGGGTGGTACTCCCGCTGGCCCGTCTGCCACGCCTCAGAGTGCCCACACAGGGCGTAGAGTCTCCGCCCGACGGAACGACGCTCTCATACTCCTCCCCCCCCTCCTCCTCCTCCTCCGCCTCCTCCTCCTCCTCCTTCCTCCTCCTACTCCTCCTTCCTCCTGCCTCGCCTCGTTCCTCCTCCTCCTCCTCCTCCTCCTCCTCCTCCTCCTCCTCCTCCCTCCTCCTCCTCCCTCCTCCTCCTCCTCCTCCTCCTCCTCCTCCTCCTCCTCCTCCTCCTTCCTCCTCCTCTCCTCCTCATCCCTCCCTCCCTCCCTCCCTCCCTCCCTCCCTCCCTCTCCCACTGCTGCGTTTGCCACATAGACAAACTTCCCCCAAAGGAGCCTTCATCCCACGGAACGGCGCTCGCGCCCTCGCGCTGGCCGTCCCGCAGCATCTGCACACGGGTGGCCTTCCTGCCTCCGCGCTGGCGACGTCGGTTCCCGCTCCGAAGCCTCCACTTCCCATTGGCCGCTCCCAGACCCACGGGGCTGGAGCGGCACGGCAACAGTGACCAGGGGGGCGCAGCGGGTCACAGCGGGAGGTGGACACGGGGCTGCGGGAGCGCGGGTCACGCGGCCCCACGCTCGACGCCCGCAGGGCGGGGGACGTGCTGCAGGCCGCACGCACGCCCGCGCAGAGAGGAGAGGTCAGGGGGAGGCGAGGGTCTGACTCCGCTCCACTGACTTGGATCCCAGTCTGCGGGCCAAGTGGCCCACTCGGAACGCAGGCCGTCTTCGACACTGCACTCCGCGAGTAGATGGGACTCAGCTCCATGGGGAGGGGTGGGAGGTGGGGATACGATGCCAGACGTCAGACATGGCGCGGAGGCACCAATGCTTCGCCCTAATCCTCCTCCTCTTCCTCCGCCCTAACCCTCCTCCTCCTCCTCCTCCTCCTCCTCCTCCTCTTCTTCCTCCTCCTCCTCCTCCTCCTCCACCCCATCTTTCTCTTGCTTCCCCTCCTCTCCCTCCTCCCCCCTCCCTCCCGAGGCAGGAAGCGGGGCCTCGTAGGGAGTCTTGCGCTGGTGGTCGCAGACCCCGAGAGGAGCGTTCCTGCCCCCCGCCGGGCCGCCGCGGGACGGCCGCCGGTGGCGGCCCGCGGAGAGGAGCGGACGGGGTGGGAGGGGTACAGTCAACCCGTATCGCAAGGATGCGCTATTTGGGGAATGGACAGACCCCCCTTTAGTAAAACGTGGTTTAGTGAAAACGACCTGAGGCCCAAACCTGGCGGGCGCAAACCTGGAACATAGCGACCACGGCGCCATCTCGAGAACCGAAAACGGACAGTTCACTAATCGACGTGTCAATGTTGGGGGTTCTGTCCACCCCCGAGCTATAGGGATGCAAGGCCCTTGGAGGCCCATGTTGGCGTTTTTCGAAAGTCGCTAGATGGGCCGAAGGGGCAAGGATGCAAGGGTACCCTTGGGAAGGCTGTTCATCCTTACTATGCGGGCTGACTGTATAGTATGCTATGGTATGGTATGGTGTGGGTTTGCCCTAGAAAGGCGTCAATCAATAATGACATCAACCGAACAAAAACTCGGCCCCGGACTCCCTGATCGTCGTCACCGTCCGAGCCGCGATTGGCACTGCGGCCCATCTCACGGAGGCGGGCGGGAGCTGAGCGAAGTGAACGGAGGGGTGGGGAAGGGGAGGGGAAGGAAGTTAAGGGCGGAGTGAGGGCGGGGGGGCGGGGGGCCGCATGGAGGGGACGGGCAAGGGCGGAGGAGTGAGGGAAGGGAGGGGAAGGGTGGAGGGGACATGAGGGAGAGGGGGCGGAAGGGTGGAGGGCGACGAAGACAGGGGGCCGGGGGGAGAAGGGCAGAGGTCAGGGAGACTCTATGATTACGCGTCTGCGCTGCGAATTCGCCCCACATCGAGGCACGTGACTCGGGGTAGACGCGTCCACCAGTGTCCAGGCCACGAGCCACACACACCCACACACACACACACACGCACACACACACACACACACACACACGACAACGCTGGGCAAGGCAACCGCATCTCCCACGCCCTCAGCCTTTTGAGGGGCAACGACAAGGGGGGGGGACTGGCCCATGGGGGGAGGCATCGACCTGGAATCGGCGATATACATCGCCGACAGATCGGCGATAGGCCTCCGATAATTAGGGAAGCCGCACCCTCCCGGGCAGGTTGGGGCCGTCGGGCCCCGTTCGGCGATCCGTGGGCGAGTGGGGGTCGATGCGTCCTCCCCCTCTGTGCCCATCGCCCCCTGTCGCTGCCCCTCGGGCCCTGCAGATCCCCCCCCGCTTCGCGCCGCTTCGCGCTGCTGCGCGGAGCGCGACTCTCTCCAGACTGAATGGGGCCCCAGGACACACAAAGAAACACACAAAAATGAAAAGATTCCCCATATTTTCCCACATTTTCTGGGTTTCTGTCCTCCCCCCCCCCCCCACCCTCCATATTTTCCAATATTTTCTGGGGGATCGACGATGAATTGTGTCTGTTTGTTTTTTTCCCTCCTGACAGACCCGCGCCGCCAGCTGGCGAGCAGACTCCGCCCGCGGCCCAGCTCGCGACGCACCTATTCGCGCCCTGGCGGGTGCCCCAGGCCGTCCGCGAGACCGCCACGGGGTCCACCGCTGCATGACCGGCAGCGCCAGCGCCTGCACTGGCCATCGCTCGGACGTCCATTCCCTGTGCTTTTTTGGTTTCGTGCGTGGTTTTTCGCAGGATGATCCAGGATGCTCCTTAATAGTCCCCGCCGAGAAAACGTGCACACGTCCGAGCGATACCAAGTGCATCACCACCGCCGTCGCGGCATGCAGGCACGCGAGAGCCACAGCCCAACAATACGAGACAGCGTGGCCCCCCGGTGCTATCACAACGCCTGCGATGTCCCAAAAAGGTCCAGTCGATCAAGCCAGAGTGATTCTGGGAGGCGTCGAGATCGAGGACGCATATCAGCGCCACCAAGCCGAGCTCCCTCTGGCGCGCTCTGACGCGCCCGAGGTGGAACAGCATTGATGGAGACGATGCCTAATAGCAAATGATGTCGTCCAAAATGGGCGGAGGCTGCTGCTGGGAGACAGCTCCAGGGGCAACTAACGCCATGAAAAGGACAGCGAACCTGGTCCGAAACGAACGGAAACTTCTGAGGGTCGTCGTCCCGAACAGCAAACTGCACAACCATAGTTTCTCGTAGATCTGCGCAGATCTCCTCTTGGATCGGCGCTGGATCCCCCCCCTCCCTGGCGCGCGGAGCGCGCCAGCGGCGGCGCTGGAGGCGCCGCCAGGGGGGGCCCGACGCCGATCCCAACAGTCCGCGCGGACCTCAGCGAAATGAGACTCATGCCCTTTTGCTGTTGTTGTGTTCTCCGAGCTTGGGCCCTCCTCGATCCCTCCTCGACCCCTCCAGGCACCCGACGCCGTGGCGCCTCTGCCGCGTGGCCCCCGGGCCGCCCGGCCCCTTGCCCGGAGGCCGCCCGTCGTTCTGGGCTTAGGTCGGGCCTGTCCCCATACAGGGGGATCTTGGGCGAAAAATGAAAAATACTCCAAAAATGCTCCCCAAATGCTGCAAAATAGTCCAACAAATCGTCCCCTGACGATTGTTTTACTATTTCTGCATCTCCCTCCTGTCGAGGGACAAGCCCTTTGTGGGCCCCGGATACGGCAGGGCCGTTTTTTCACCGTTTCCAAAAAATGTCCCTTGAAAATGGAAACGGCAAAAAAACGGCGACCGGAAACGGCAAACAAACGGCTCCAGGACTGGAGCCGGAGCCGGTACCGGTCACAAAACAGCGACGGAACCGGTGAAACAACGGCGTCGGAGCCGGCAGAAAAACGGCAGAACGGAACCGGTAAAAAAACGGCCCTGTCGTTTCCAGGGCCCACTGAAGACAGGCCCGACTGATCCTGTAAAGGGAAATTAGGACACACAAATAAATACACACAAATAAAAATAGTCCCCAGATTTTCTCATATTTTCTGGGTTTTTGTCTTCCCCCCCAATTCCCATATTTTCCGATATTTTCCTGGGAATCGAGGATTAATTGTGTCTGTGTGTTTTTTTCCCTCCTGATCCTGGGCCGCGAGCCGAGACGCCCCCGCGGCCCGAGGAGGGGCCACCACCAGCGGCCGCCGACCGCCGGGGGCCGCCGAGGGCCACGTCGGAGCTCTGGGCCCTCGGGGACACCCTCCTGCACGCAGCCGGGAGGCTGCCGCCTCGAGGGCTCGGGGCGAGCGGGGTGCGCGAGGGGGAGCGGGGGAGACAGGAGGGGGAGGAGGGAGGGAGGAGGACGAGGAGGAGGGGGAGGAGGAGGGGGTAGGGGAGGAGGAGGAGGAGGAGAGGAGGAGGAGGAGGAGGGAAGGAGGGAAGGAGGAGGAAGGGAGGAGGAGAGGAGGAGGAGGAGGATGTGGTGGGAGGAGAAGGAGGAAGAGAACGAGGACGAGGAGGAGGAGGAGGGAGGGGAGGAGGGATGATGAGGAGGATGGGATGGGGGAGGAGGAGCAGGGTGGAGGAGGGGGAGGAGAAGGGGGAGGAGGAGGGGGAGAAGGGGAAGGAGGAGAGGCCTCCTAGACGGAGTCCGAGTAGATGGGGTCGAACGATCGCTTCGAATCGCCGACGTCAGCGACGCATCGGCGACGTCTGCGACGTCGGCGACGCATCGGCGAAGTCGGCGGGAGAAAATCGGGCTCCGCATCGAGCCGCATCCCCGATGCATCGGCGATGCGGCACGATCCTCCGACCCCATCTACTCCGACCCCATCTGGGAGGCCTACAGAGGCAAATGCTTTACCTCGAATAGCCTTTCGACGACTCTGGGGGCCTGGCAAGGGCGCCCGGGAACAGAAAATAGCAGAACCTCCCGTCGTGATTCTGGTCGCTACTCGAGGGGGGCTGGGGACGCAGCAACGACAGAACCAACCGACCGAACCGAACTGGCGTTAGGTCGGGCCTGTCCCCCTACAGGAGGATCTTGGACGAAGAATGAAAAATGCTCAAACAATGCTCAGAAGATGCCAACAAAAAAACCCAGAACATAGTCCCCATACTGTTTTCTGACTATTTTTGAACATCCCCCCTGTACCCAGAGCGTCGCGGGAGCCTCGAAATGTAGGACATGTGCTCGAAAACGCACGCGTGTTCTTTAAAATTCGGAATCGTTTGGTTGGTTTGTCGTTTTTTCTTGTGGAGGTTTCATCGGTTCCTGCAATGCCACCGAAACCGAAACCCTGATTCAATGAAAAGCCATTCGTTTTTCATGGACGTTGCTCTTTTGTGCCTGCACCATAAAAAAAGAGCGGTCGGGTATATTTGGTTATCGCATCAAACGCATCACTGTTGTCAGTACGGTGCGTCTGACGTTGTATCTGGTGCGTGTTGAATCGTAGGCGTTGGGCAACGCGTATCTCGAAGCTTTCGGATTGTTTGCGTGTCGGTCGGCCTCAAAGCTGGCTGCATCTTTGAATCCAATATGCACCCCGTGGTCGCAGGTCACAGGTTGAAAGTGTAGGTTACATGTGAATATGGTGACGATGGGCTCTCATAGTTGGGTGCTTGAGCAAAGATAGCGGTTATGAGGGAGGAGGAGGAGGGGAGGAGGAGGAGGAGGAGGATGAGGAAGAGGAGGCGGAGGAGGAGGAGGAGGATGCGGATGAGGAGGAGGAGGAGGAGGAGGAGGACGACAGTAGGGGGAGGAACGAGGAGAGGACGAACAAGATCCTGACATTCCCACGATTCCCGAACTTGGAGGGCAAGGGGGGCGCGACTTCAGGGACATGCAAACACGTGGGCGCATTGTGTTGGTTCCCTGGTTGTCCGTTTGACGTTGTCCCTGGTTGTCCTGCGGGGGGCACCTCCAAACATCTTGAGATCATCTAGGGTAGTCTTGGGAACATCTCGTGAGCTTCTGAATGTCTGTTGGGGTCTGCGGGAGGCTCTTTTGGGACTCCAGGGGGTCTGCGGGCGGAGAGCTCTGCACGTCGGTCACGCGCCTTCCTTGTCGTCGTCGTCATCCTCCTCTTCCTCCTCTTCTTCCTCCTCCTACTTCCTCGCCTCCTCCTCTTGCTCCTCCTGCCTCCTCATA